CGGCTCATTATATAGAGTTCAGGGTGCTTTCCTTGTAGAGAGAGTCAGATTGGCTGCCTCCTGCACACCTCCCACCAGAGATTGTGCCTGCAACCAGGGCATGTGCCCTGACCAAAAAGCTACCTCTTTTTAAAAAATATATATATATATTTTTATTGATTTCAGAGAGGAAGGGAGAGGAGGAGATAGAAACATCAGTGATGAGAGAGAATCACTGATTGGCTGCCTCCTGCATGCCCCCTACCCGGGATCAAGCCCACAACCCCGGGATGTATCCTTTACCACAATCAAATCCAGAACTCTTCAGTCTGCAGGCTGACACTCTATCCACTGAGCCAAACCAACCTGATAAGCTTTTACAATACAAATTTTCCCCTCCTTGTACTTTAATAGGATCCTGACAGAGCCTCAGATGGCTTAGAGTTCTCAGGTCATGGACAGGTCAAAGATGTGCCTGGTTGGTGTCTTCACCCTGGTCTGCTTGCCTTGGTAAAGAGCAGGCACTGTCTGTGCTCACTGGGACTGCAGCCCAGAGCCTCAGCTCCAGGTGGCACTGTGGATCATGAGGCTGGACAGCAGCCCAAGAAAAGGCCACTAAGTGGCTCCAGCCATGGGGGTGACCCCTATCAGCTGTGGCCATCAGCTTGGCTCTGTAGGAGACATGGAAAGGTTGGCTCCTGGGAGAACATGGAGAGACACAGAAAACCACAAGACAGTCCCATCCCAAGTGAAGATTCAGGGTGAGGGCATGGGATTTGCATTTTTAAGTTCCCTGGATGATTCTGATGTGGAATGTTCCAGAAGCACAGTTCCAGGGGCACTGATTTAGATCCTGAATTCTGGGGAGAGTGGGAAATGAATGAGATGGCCCAGGTTTCGCCCACTCATCAGCCAGGAGTGCTGAGGAAGCAGCGACCCCAGGTTAAAAGACCGCTCAATCTACTGTCTGTGGTCAGCACTGAACGGACAGGAGCGAGGGAGTTCTCCTTGAGCAGCAGTTCTCAACCTGTGGGTCGCGACCCCTTTGGGGGTCGAAGGACCCTTTCACAGGGGTCGCCTAAGACCATCGGAAAACACATATATAATTACATATTGTTTTTGTGATTAATCACTATGCTTTAATTATGTTTAATTTGTAACAACGAAAGTACATCCTGCATATCAGATATTTACATTACGATTCATAACTGTAGCAAAATTACAGTTATGAAGTAGCAACGAAAATAGTTTTATGGCCAAAACCGGTTTGGCTCAGTGGATAGAGCGTTGGCCTGCGGACTGAAGGGTCCCAGGTTCAATTCCGGTCAAGGGCATGTACTTGGGTTGCGGGCACATCCCCAGTGGGAGATGTGCAGGAGGCAGCTGATCGATGTTTCTCTCTAATCGATGTTTCTAACTCTCTATCTCTCTCCCTTCCTCTCTGTAAAAAATCAATAAAATATATTTTAAAAAAAAGAAAATAGTTTTATGGTTGCGGGTCACCACAACATGAGGAACTGTATTAAAGGGTCGCAGCATCAGGAAGATTGAGAACCACTGTCCTTCAGGAAACTGCAGACACGCAAGGTGGAGGCAAAAAGGTTTTAAAGATGGGGAGGGTGTCCTACTGAAAGGGACAATTCTGGATTCAGGGTGGTGACCAGCAAGGAGTCCGGGGGCCAGATTCTGGAAGGTCACCCTTGTGGTCATTGGTGCCACCCAGAACGGGCAGCACTGGTGCCCAGCGGTGGTCTCAGGACTGGGTCCCAGTTCCCCACCCATGTGGTGTTGAGTGGGACCTGGTGGAAGACAAACAGGGTGAGAAACTTCTGGAAAAGTGTGTGTCGGGCGGGGGTAGGGGGTGGGGAGGGTAGAGGCTTGCTGGGGCTCAGTCCCCGATCAGGCCTGTCCTCTAAAGACCCATGCAACCTGAGCCGCTGTTGCCAGGCAGGGCTTGGGCTGCAAGGAGTCTGCAGGCTGTGTTCTGAGAAAAGCCAGCCATTCCGGGAAATGCACAGTCCTGGGGGGGGGAGAGATTATTCTGTCACGTGTGTAGGACACAGTGGATTAGCATCAGGGAGACAAAAACAGGACCCATTATAATAATCCAGTGGCCATGTGATAGCGGCCTGGATTAGGATAGGAGGAAAAGAATGGATAAGATCATTGGGTGACCACCCCACCCCCTACGCCAGGGGCTTAGCTCCACCCACCTTGTTGAGCCCGCCCAGGGGGCAGAGGATGGTGCCCCGACAGGCCATGACCACCCCCTACTGTACAAGCCGGTGGTGGTGGGAGAACCGGCCCCGCCGTGGAGCGGCCGGACCCCCTCAGCGGGAGGTGATGTCCCCCACCAGCAGGGCCAGAAGGAGCAGCAGGAGGGTCACCGACGACGAAGACGAGGACAACCGCCCGGCGGCCTGGTTGATCTCGCAATGACAATTGCAGGGGTCGGGCTTGAGAGTCGCTTTCGGGGGCCTGGGGTAGCGAG